GACCCTTCATCAGAAGGGTCTAGGCCCGAAACGTCAGCCTTCCTGCTTCTCTGATGCTGCTTGGCCTGCTGTGTTCATCCAGCTCTACACCTTGTTATCTCAGATTCTCCAGCATCTGCAGTTCCTGCTATCTCTGAAACAAATATTTACTGACTCAGTTAATAACAATCTAGTTAAGAGCAGAATTGGTCATAATTATTTAGCAGAACAAGGGCAAGAGAGAACCCCACCACTTGAAAATTACGTTCCAAGTCACTCATGATCAGACTTGGAAATTTATCACTGTTCCCTTGATGCCACTGGGTCAAAATCCCAGAACTCTCTTCCCTAATAGCACTGTAGGCGTATCCACACAACACAGACTGCAGTGGCTCAAGAAGGTGGGTTCACCACCACCTTCTCATGGGCAATTAGGGATGGGCAGTAAATGCTGGCCCAGCCAGCAATGCCCATGCCTGGTGATTGAACGATTTTGTTCATCGGTTAGAGCCATCTGGCATTTTTAAAAGATGTATCGAGTGATGTAAACTCTAAGAACTCTTCCTAATTGCTAGAATTGGGGATGTGCCATCTCTGGAGTAGGGCTTCTAAATTGGGAATGCGGGGCTATGATATTGAATCAATGCCCTGGTGCTTTCTGTGGCTAACGGTTTGAGGGGAGGCTTTGGCAATTTTGAAAAAACAAAACAGTGCAGTTCCTGTAAATTCAAAATGAAAACAAAGTGCTGGAAACACTGTGGGTCTGGCAACATCAATGATGAGTAAAATAAAGTTCCCGTTTTGAATTGTGTATGACTTCTTCAGGCCTGAGAGGATCCATATTGAAGAAACACATTCTACTCATTGAACTCTGTTTCTTTCTCCACGGGCTGATCTGCTGAGCATTTCCAGCGTTTGTATTTATTTTATTTCCCATCTTTTTCTTGGTTGTTTCTCTAAGCTTGTGTGAGTCCTTCGAAAGGTTGGATGGAAACTTTGACATGGAAAGCTATGTACAGCTTCTGGAGGGAGTCAGCTGAGTGAGCTATTTTAGGTCTTATTCCATGCATTAAGTGTTTACTTTAGGATCCATGGGCAGATGAACACATGAGAGGGAAGGTTTACAAGACTCCCCTGAATTGGGGATTGAGTTGGAGGACAGTGATAATTTTTAGTCCCTGTTTATGATGTAGCCCTATTAGTTGCATACATACTTGTAATGTGTGTATTATCTATATACAAGTCCTGTCAACACATTCAATAAATGATCACATGGATGAGATACTAGAAAGTGACTAGCTCCCCAGAGTCAGATGTCAGTGAGTTTATTGCAGGAAGGGCAACAGCACTGTAAACACTGTAAATTTTATCATGTGGTATTTAACTCTTGAAATGTGCTCCTGACTCCCAAAGCTCTGCATCAGCAGCATACACTTGTAAAAATGAAAAAAACACACTTAGAATCATAGAGAAGTACATCACGGAAACAGCCCCTTCGGTTCCAACTTGTCCATGTCAACCAGATATCCTAAATAAATCTACTCCCATTTGCCAGCATTTAGCCCATATCCCTCTAAACCCTTCCGATTCATATAACCATCCAAATGCCCTTTAAATGTTGTAATTAAACCGGCCTCCACCACTTCCTCTGGCAGCTCATTCCATACACGTACCACCCTCTGCATGAAAACGTTGCCCCTTAGGACCCTTTTAAATCTTTTCCCTCTCACCTTAAACCTATGCCCTCTAGTTTTGGACTCCCCCACCTCAGGGAAAAGACCTTGGCTATTTATGCTATCCATGCCCCTCATGATTTTATAAACCTCTAATAAGGTCACCCCTCAGCCTCTGACACTCCAGGGAAAATAGTCCCAGCCTATTCAGCCTCTCCCTATAGCTCAAACCCTCCAAGCCTGGCATTATCCTTGTAAATCTTTTCTGAACCCTTTCAAGTTTCACAACGTCCTTCCTATGGAAGGCAGACCAGAATTGTATGCAGTATTCCAAAAGTGGCCTAATCAATGTCCTGCACAACCACAATTATGACCTTCAGTTCCTATATTCAATGCATTGACCAATTGCCTTCTTCACTATCCTGTTTACCTTTGACTCCACTTTCAAGGAATTATGAACCTGCACTCCAAGGTCTCTTTGTTCAGTAACACTCCCCAGGACCTTAGCATTAAGTGTCTAAGTCCAGCCCTGATTTGCCTTTCGAAAATGCAGCGCCTCACATTTATCTAAATTAAACTCCATCAGCCACTCCTTGGCCCTTTGGCCCATCTGATCAATGTCCTGTTGTACTCTGAGGTAACCTTCGCTGTCCACTGCACCTCCAACTTACATTCATTTAGCACCTTTCAAACAAGGTGTCAAGATGTCCCAATGGGCTTTGCACCTAATTAACTACAGTCCCTCTCTCAGTGTAGAAAACAAGGTAGTGAATTTATACACCTCATTCTCTCAAACAGCAATAAAATAGTGACTGACTGATGTTTAAAGATGTTGATTTGAGAGATAAATATTTACTTGTGCACCAGGGAAAGTTCCTTTTTGAAATAGTGCTGTGGCACATTTTATATCTAGCTAAGAGGGCAGATAATGCTTTAGTTTAATGTCTCAGCTGTAATGTAGTGTTTTCAACAATGCAGCACTCCCTCAGTACTGTATTGGAGTGTCAGCCTGGATTTTGTGTCCTGAATTCACAACTTTCTGATTCAAGAGGTGAGAGTTGGCTGTAATTGAACCAGATTCAGATGCCTTTGAATTGTCAGTAGCACGGCTCATGGCAAGTTGAAAATATTTTTCATCTGTGTTGATGATGTCAATGGAATTGGGAATGAGAATTCAGAAACTCACTCCACAGTGCCACTTAATGGCTGGAGCCTGCAATTGCAATGTGATGGTTGACATAGCAAATTGATATGTAAACATTATAAAAACCGAAAGAACTGCGGATGCTGTAAATCAGGAACAACAACAGAAGTTGCTGGAAATGCTCAGCTGTTCCGGCAGCTTCTGTGATATGTAAACATTATCCATTCAATTCCAATAGGTGAATGTACAAAGAGAAGCATAAGCAAAATCATGAAGTAATTTTGTTGGAAATGAAAAGTTGCTCAACTTAATTATAATCAACAATTCAATTGACTATGACATTGCAACAAGGGAAACAAAAGCCAATGCAATCTTAAATTGAAACAGACCTGGTAGACATAATTCCGCTCCTATTTTTAGTTTTGTCATTCTCTTTGGGATAGGAGAAGGTGATTGAAATGTGGACCATGAATTGGGATGAAGGAGGATTCTGGTATGAATTTGGCTGGGCAGTATGCTCTGAGCTGTGAAGGAAATTGCTCCTGGTTCTTGTCACAGTCTTTAACTAACCTGCTGGAAGACTCATTCTAGCTGTTTCTTCATTCATGATTAGCTTTGCTGCTACTTCAGTGAAACTACATGGTAGAGGTTCCTATTGAGTGCTCTCTGAGTTATCACGTGCTCTGCTTCACCAGATTGGGACGTGTATATGAATGGGGATATCTGACAGCACCAAGTGAGCTCTCAATACTCAATAATACATTTGATTCTCAACAAGTAAAACCTGAGGATTATTTATGACAATAAGGTGAAGGAGCAGAAGTAGGGCATTCAGCTCATTGAGCCTGCTGCACCATTCCATGAAATCGTGGCCAATCTGATAATCTTTAACTCCATTTTCCTGTCTTTTCCCCATAATCCTTGATTCCCTTACTGATTAAAGCCTGCCTTGAACATCCTTAGTGGCTCTGCCTCTGGAGCCCTATGTGGCAAAAACATTCCACAGATTCACTACCCCGAGAGAATTCTTCCCTTACTTGCAAGTTCACCCACAAAGTTTATCTCCTTATTTACAATTTTTTGATTGTCTTTTGTTGGTTTTTAAAACTTTCCCAATGCTCTGATTTACCACTAATCTTTACCACATTGTATGAGTTTTCTTTCAACTTAATGCATTCTTTTTCTTCCCTAGTTAGCTATCGGTAACTAATCCCATTCCTAGAATCCACCTTTCTCACTGGGATACATCTTTTGCTCTGAGCCACTTTGTTCATTGTCTGCCATTTGTCCTCAACATCTTTTTGCTAAACTCCTTTCCCACTCCAGCTAGTCCTGCCCTTGTCCCTTGTTAATTGTCCTTATTTAAACTTAGCACAATTGTTTCTGAACCTAGTTCCTCCCTCTCAAGCTGAATGCGAAATTCTATCATGTTGTTATTATTACTGTTTCTGAGAGGACCTTTTACTCTGACATCATTTATTAAACCTGCCTCATTACACATCACTAGACCCAAACTAACCTGATCCCTGGTTGGTACACAACATATTGTTTG